TTTAATTTTAAAAACCTGTGTCTCTTGAGTGGATTGCTCTGAAGTGACCTCTCTCTCCTTTCATGACACGTGAACACTGCAGGTCATTTCATTTGAAATGTGTCCCACAGGGTTGTCTGTCTTGGCAGAAAACAAAGTCAACAACAGTTAGCAAGCTGGGTATTGACACTGACAGCAGTCTGTTTAATAGGACATAACCTTTTCAGTGTTTCATTCCAGGGTTATTAGGAGGCAGTGACTGCTTTTACCACCAAACCCCCCGTGTGCAGCCAGCTGAGGAGGGACAGGCTGGAGGCACAGCGATGATCAGCTCCCCTCTGTGTGCTGCTGGACGGTGTGGACCTTACGTGGTGTAAATCAGAGCAGGTCTTGGCCCTATCTTTAGGCTGCTGACATGCGACTGTGGCACTCGGAGCAGTTCCTAAATGGCAAACACCCGTCTGTGCTGCTACACCGATCTGTTTACACCAAGGCAACCAACAATTGCTTTCGGAGCACCCTACTGACAACTCAGCTGTAGTTATCACTAAAATTTATTTAATGCTTTCAGAAGAAGTATCCCATGGCTTCCTCTTCTTCCTTCCTCTTTTTTTTTTTCCTTCAGAAACTTGCATGAAATATCTTATAACATAAACAGCAGTTTATCCTGATGTATCTACAGTAAAATACAAGCCCCCCCTCCACGATGCATCCTCCTGCTCCCCAGCGTGCTGCCTCCAAGTGTGGCTGCTGCTGCTGCTTCGTGCTCGTGTTGCTGGAAAGAGCTGGTTCAGCCTGCTGGAGGCAGATGACTCTGCCCAGCGTAGTTCTCCGTGACTCTTAACATTCAGCAAAAGCTTATCTGGAGTGGTTTCTCTGCGGATGAATCCCAGCTGATGAACAACAGCTATGGCCAGCATGGTTTCAGAAATGTAAAACTGTCTTGTTTCATTAGTGATGTCATCGTGTCACCTCCAAGAACTCCATGATAACGTTGCTTTTAGCCTGAAAACAGGAAAACATTTTCACTGTCTAGATTCCATCTGCTCAGCCAAAATGCCTCCTTCTGCTGGGTTATGAGCCACCTGCTCTCAGTCAACTGCCTGTCTCCTGTTCCTCATCCCAAGACTGCTGTGCCGAGGCACCTGGCTAGCCCCATGCAGAGCTCGTCTGGCTCTAGAAAAGCTTCTGCACTTGAACTCCTTGGTGTGTCTAATCTGCAATGTGCTTCAGCCTCCCTCAGGAGGTACCCCTTGCTCTTACTCACACCCATGAGGTTAGAGTTGTCCCCTGGGGTGGGGAAGACACTGGCCTCAGTTCACTCCTCTACCTCAGGGATGTCACTCCCATGTCAAAATGGAATCTTTTCTCAGCTAAGAGAGCACTTTAGCTGTAACGGTACCATCAGGGAGTCATACAAATCACCCTGTAATCTGTTTAGGTTTTTCAGAGAAGACAGGCTCCAGATTCCCTGAGATTCCAGGGGAGGTTTAGGCTGGATATTAGAAAAAATTTCTTCACTGCAAGAGTGCTCAGGCATTGGAACAGGCTGCCCAGGGCAGTGGTGGAGTCACCATCCCTGGAGGGGATCAAGAAACGTGTCGATGTGGTGCTTGGGGACATGGTTCAGTGAGTTAGGTGGGGTTGGGTTGGACTTGATGATCATTGAGGTCTTTTCCAACCTTAATGATTCTGTGATTCTAAATTCTATGAAACGGCGTGAACGTCTGAGCTATCCGAATGGTTAGGCTTCTCACCTGGGTGGTGGGGTCTCTGCCCACCTTCTGCCCGTGTCTCTTTATGCATTTTCCCCAGAATGTACGTGATGTGAAATACACAACCCAGAGCACAGGCTGCCTCCTTCCCGACAGCCTGGACGTGCCCAATATTTTTCTGATTGCTCTTACAGTCTTTAGCCTGACTTTTTTTGATCTCCTAGCTTAAGCAAAGTCCTGCTGCTAGGAGAGGCAGCAAGGAGAACTGCCCTGCTATAACCTTGTGGTGTCCCTGACCCTGGCAAGGCAGGTGACTATCGATCGCTGAAGTATGGGATTACACCAGCCGAGGGAGAGCAGCCACAGACTTTGTACTCTTTTCTCCCCTCACTTGCATCGGTGTGACCCTGGTAACGGGTTTAACTGAGGTTAGAAAATTAGCAGCCGTGGCAGGAAAACAAAACACTCGTATATAGCACAAAAAAAGAACCAAACCTCTATCCAACACCATTCGAATGGTGTTATTATTACAATATAGTTGTGTTGCGTGGACATTGGGGAGTTCTGGCAATTCCTTACTCATATCTGTCCTAGCAGGAGTATATTGCTTTTCCATTGGACTTGGATTTATTAAGATTTGTTTGAAAAAGAAACTTTGGATATTGCAGTAAATATTTTTTTAAAAGTTTTTCATCATGTTCTCAATGTGTATTATGATTTTATAAGAGTAATTTTAATTGCAAGTAGACTTTTAAGAGCATCAGTTTAGATTATTTCCATTTGAAATTTGCAGGGGTTTATGCAAGTTGCAATGAAGCATTTTTGTTCTTGAATGTCAGCAATTTTAGCATTGACTTCAAAGCCAAACAGAAATTGGTAGATAGCAGTCCAGCCTGACAGAACTTCACAATTTTTATTTGCTTCTCTTCATCTACTTGGTGCAAAACCGGCTGGAGGCTATAGACAAAACCTCACATATTTGTAGCATTTCTGTGGTACATTCTGTACATTAAAGACTGATGTGATCCTCACTGAAAAAAAACTACAAAAAAGCAAACCTCAGATGGAAACTGAAGCTTTTCCCTCTATGCCTGCTGCAATGAAAAATGTGGCATGGTTCCCATAGCTGAAGTTCTAGTTAAAATGCTGACGTCCCTATGAAGGGATTGAAGGAGCAGAGAGACCACGCCAATCCCTCTCCTAATACCCTCCGTAGATCTGCCCATGTGGCAAGCGTGAGGAGACGGGGCCGGTCGAGCAAAGCCCGGAGAAGATCGTTCCAGTGGACCAGGGTTATCACACAGCAGGGGGAGGAGGAAGAAGTGCCAGGTAGTCAATGCAAACAGGAGATGCTGGCTTTTGTGTCTCCTGTGGGTCTGGGAGAGCACTGACACTCGGGAATGAAGCCGGTAGGTTCCCCACCACTTACGGAACTGGATTTTAATCAGCAGGGTGAATCCTGGGGTGTTTTCCCTTCCCCTCAGTTCTCTGCTGTTGGCATTCCTCGGGAGCTCAGATCAGCCGTAGGAGCTCTGGAATACTTCAGTTTCTCATAGACCGAGGGAGCTGACAGCAAACACTAAACCACAGTCAGAGCAGTCTGGAGCAGCCAGTGTGAAGGAGACAAGAGCATGTAACAGAAGGCTGCATTTGCCAGGGGACATAGAATTACCTTAGCAGTCATCTTCTTGCCTTTTGTTATCTGCTGTTGTAATCCTGTGTTGAGCTTCTTTTCATCAAGGAAGGGTGTTCTGCTTAAAACACTGCATAGCCTCACCACCCTCAAAACCTGTTGTTTTAAGCAGGATTTATTCAAGAAAGGGGGAGTTGATACTCTGATGGTAATAAGATGTGCCATGGTACGTGTATCATGTAATGTAAGGCTTTCTCTGAGTCAGTGCTAACTTCCATTGAATGGGCTGTAATTTATGTACATCGTACAGAAATATAATTGACAGAAGTATAAAAACAAGCTGTAGCTAAAGACTGGATAGTTCCCTTACCAACAGAGCCAAAGTAATAATTAGAAATCACTTGCATTTATAGTTTATATTATTATACATATTGTAAATGGCAATGAATTGGTGTCCTCTGTTCTCTTTTGAAAATGAAAAAAAAATTAAATAAAATTACAAAGACTACACATATAGGTAGTAAATAATCACACACTATAGAAGCTTTTTATTTACCTTTGAGTATTGAGCACAGCAGACAGTGAGAAGTGAGATGGATCCATAATTTAAAGCAGTTCTAGGACTCAATCCAGCTCTATTGGCTAGACTAGATGTCTTGCCAGAGTGTGAAATTTGAAAATATCTGGTAGTCCTATATCTCATTTCTGTGATGAGGCTTACTTTTGAGTCAAGGACAAAAGGTCAGACCATAAGTCCTTAGAAACACAGAAAAATAGGATCACAATAATATTTTAAGTCCATTTGTTCTTTTCACTGGGATATGATAAGAAAGCTATCTCTTCCAGACTGGAGATGTTTCATTAAAAAATGGAATTTTGTGACATCTATTCATCCATCATTTACAGCAGAAAAGGACAAGGATGTTACAGAGAACCGCATTATATTATCCCCGGAACAATTGTTCTTATGGACATACCAGCACTAAGACACTACAATGACAAACAGTCTAGAGATGCTTTCGGTTCAGCCAGTATCATTTATTTTAACGCAGTTACAACTTTCTGAAAAGAAGTATATTACAATGAATATAATACAAGTTTTGTAATTTCACTAGAACGTGAATATTTTTGTAGATTTTCTTCAAGTCTTTTTCTAGTTTTTCATAAAACCATAAATGTACTTCCCCAGGAAACTCTTCCCTCCCCACCGCGATTCCGCCTTTACACAACAAAATTTTTATTTCACCCGTGGGGAGAACCTCCATCCCCAACATTAAATTCTAAAAAAGAATAAGTTTTAACTGTAGTTGAATTTTGACAGTTATTTTGGATTAGCTGAGGAAATTCTAACTCTGGGAAAGTATTTGCTGACAGAAAAAAAAAAAACAACCTAGTGTACATGTACAATTCAGAATCTTAACTTGCATTTCAGAACGGTTGGTAAAAGGGGAAACACTTGTATCAACGCAGTACATTAAACCCACTGCATGCTGGTGCTGTAATGGTTTATGTTACGCATTTTCCATCAGAATGAGAATTAGCATCTCCATATAGATTTTCCCCCAAGACTTGCAACATGTCATTTGCCTATATACATAAAATATATAGAAAGTATATTTTATATAGTATATTTATATAGTACAGAGTTTATATGCATGATATAAAATACAAATTCACAGACATTTCAGTCTATACCTGAAATCAATGTCATTGGTTGGCTGCAAAATGCCCAGTCCTGCACGGGATTGATCTAAAGAAGGACATTGCACGTTACTGTCCACAAGCTCTATCTCAAAATAGGAAAATATCAAAGCCAGAAACTGTTTAATTTCGTGGACAGCAAATAACCTGCCAGGGCATTTTGCTATGCCTGTCCCAAACGGCATATAGTAATACTTCAACTTGCGACCATGGTGGTAGAAGTCAGTCTTCTCTTCGCCATTCTCATTGAGAAAGCGATCATATTTGAATGTCTGTAATAAAAGCCACAAAAGAGTTACTTGACATTTGAGTACCTCCAAAGACCAGGTAATCCCCTTAGATACAAAAGGCAGGTTGGGAAAGAAGAGCCTCTAGCCGTGAGCATTGTAGGGTGGTGCCAGGCCCCATGGTGCCCCCTGAGAAGTTCTGCTATGTGGGACATGATCCCAGGCTCTTTGCTGATAACTCTCCTTTTCTCAGCTCTTAAAACAGGAATGATAACCTGCATCCTTGTTCATGCAGCAGGGCTGGAAGATTTCTCGTTCTGTGCCTTTGGGAAAATATTCTCCCTACCTTGTCCTCCCTCAGTGCCCTCCTTGGTGATCTTTCCACACTGAGGAAGGTAGTTCGGTCCAAGGCTCTCTTGGGCTGGCAGCACACTTTTTGATGACACTAAAACACATTTTGTAGATAGCGCTTGCACTGACTTTATTCTTTTTCTTGCCTATAAGGACAGACTGACTGGAGCAGAACAGAAAACCAGCCGTGGGGGCACTCCAGTAAATGCTCTCTTTAAAGGCACGTTAGCTGCTGCTAGAGCTCAGAGTTTAATGCACTTCGATAAATACTTACCAAAGGATCCGAATAGATTTCTGGATCAAAATGCAGCAGCTGAGGATAAAGAGCTACAACATCATCACTGCGAATGTTGTAAAAATTGTTCTCCAAGTGCAAAGTGAAATCCTCCTTGGCGACTCGGATCGTCATGGATGCACTCGATAGCCTCATCGCCTCCTTGATGATGCTGTCTGTAGGGAGAGGAAGAGGAACTGTTACCATGGAAACCAGATGTGTGTGCATTTTGAACTGTTTCAAACCCATTACCAAACACTACATTTATTAAAAGAAATACTCTAACAATAACTTTCTAAATGCCTAAGCAAGTATCTTTCTCATTTCTTTTTAGCTTTGTTATCCCTTCTGCAGAACATAATCTGCTTTCCCTTAGAAAAATACTTCTAGGTGAAGCAACAGAATATTTGAAAGTGAGCATTTTCACTCTGAGATAAAGAGCAAAACAGTCAAAACTGGAAACGTAACAAGAAGAAGAAGCAGTGCAGTGTCCAGGATTTTCTGAAACTTTGAGGGTCTGTAACTTGGGGGGGGGGTTGCTTCAATATAAGCAGATTAAAAAAAAAAAAAAGCAACAGTAGTTAAAAGGTGACATTTTTAAAACTACTCCCTGTAACTTGGACACTTGTGAAAAATGTGCCTATATTTTGAAAAATATTCAGAAGAAATAAAAGTAATGGTGTTAGAAGATACTGCTTCACATTGTAAGAATTGGGATATAAAATTTGGCAACACACTTATTGGATCTAAAGTTATTATGAAATAAAATATGGTTCTGAATTTTCCATGGGTCTCCAATACTATATTATGTAGCTGTGTAGCAGTATTGAGACATGGCATTTCCCACGAAAAAGTGCTATTTGTGTGAATTTTGATACTCTCAGTATCACCTGGGACATCGGGAAGACTGTGTGGGCTATCGCCAAGGAACTTGTAGGTTTTTGTTCCAGTGTTGGTTGGCTAATTCCGTAGTCATTCCATAGCAAGCATTTATAAGGTAACAAACAGAAGACTGTGAAATTTGTGGGGTGATCTCTGGTACTCCCTCATAAAATAATCTTACCTAGTACTGGCATGTTATCCAGCTGTTTTCGGTTCAAGGAAATATGTTTGCCATCTAAGCTGATCTTCTCTCCAGCACTTTCCAAAATACTTTGCACTTCTTTGCTAGCAGCTCTCATTGCTTCTGGACTCCTAAGATCAAAAGAGCAGCAGTATAACATAATTTTACACTTAAGAATGCTTTCAAAAGGGGTTTTGTTATGAACTTTTTTTCTGACTAAAATTTAGTTTGTTAGCTGAGAAGTACAACCTTCTAAAATGAAAATGTTGCAGCAAAATGCTTCAACTACACTTTTCCATGTCTTGGCAAAGGTATGATAGCTTCAAAAAAAGGGAAAAGAACCCCAAGTATTTGATTCTGTCTCCAGTGACAAGTGGAACAGAACCGATAACAGGTAATAAACAGTAATGTCACTGAAAAGCAATGCTCAGAATAAGAAAACAATAAGCTGTAGATTAAGAAATAGCTCCACTGCAGGTACAAAATTTAGGAATAGGATCATAAATCGGTTTTATCACATCACTTGTGCTGGATGATGCCCTATGACACGGCAATATTCTGTCTAGCTGAAAAGAATCTTCCTAATCCTAAAATTCCACATAGTGTCTGTTCATTGTCTAGACTTTCTTACAGACATGAAATGTATGAGCTATGGTGAAATACATCTAAAGAACACAGGATGCAATCATGGCTTGATAAGGCACAATCAGGGTGTTAAAAGATCCAAGGCCAGAAGCCCTAAAGCCAATGCAATCTTGGAATGAAAAGTACCAAAGAACCTCAGGTATCAGCACTGGCAGGTCGATGTGCGGGTGCGAGCCACTGGCTAACTCCTCAGTAGGATCTATCAGCGTATAAACTATTTTCTATTCCGTTTCTGTGAAAACAATCAGAAGTTAAAGCTCTTTTTGCCTGCTCTAGTGAGAAGATCTAAAATGTCTGATTATATTGGGAGCCTTCAATGCAGTTAATGTTCTGACTACAGCCAGCACTTTAATGTCCCATCACACAGATTTATGACAAAGCTTTCTTGACAAAGTGGATCATTGCCCTGTAGTGTTGTTTTTTTTTTTTTTTTTAAAAAAAAAACTTCTACAGAATTCCTCTGTGGTACAACTACTTGGTCTCAGATGAGTGAAGGGGGTTTCTGCGTAACTCCAGAACGACACGCCACTTCTGTTGTAATCACTCTTTGACACTGGTGAGGTCTCAGGCAGTGGAATTTGTTTTAATCAACTGGTTTCTGAAAGATAATAAACTTTTTCCTTGTTTGGAAACAAGAAGCATTGGGACTTACTTGAGAAGATAGAACAGGCTCCAAAAGGTGGCAGGAATGGTGTTGGCTTGCGAGGCCCAGAGCACTGCCACGTGGGTCTTGGCTTTTTCCATGTCATCGAAGGTTGACAGAGTGTCATTCAGGAACATGCGGAGAGTGACAAGCTCGGAGAGGTTGTTCCTCTTCAGGAGGTTCTTGTGGAGGAGTGCCTCGCCCAGCTTCTCTCGTGCGCTGTGGGCAGCCTTGAAGAGGTGGATGGGCAGCCCCGCCACAAGGGCTGGAAAGATTCTGTCAAATTTCTTGAAGTTTTCGAGGGCGTTTAGGATATGAGCTCTCTCATTTTCCTGCTTTGACAACAGGTTTTTCTCATGATTTGAATTAAATTCTTTACCAAAAAGGGTTAAAAAGCCAGACTCGAACATCACCTGGCAACAGAATGTATAAAGTCCTTCTGTCACCCAGGCATTAGACTGAAGTTTAGATGTTCTTGACTGCAGCATGACATACTGTAGGTTTTCCATCATTGCTTCAATGAGGGCATCTAGGGCATTGCCTTGAAGGGTTCTAATGAAAGTCCGATGAAAATTTTCAGTGGTGTTTCCCTCTGCTGGGTCAATGCTACCATGCCCAAAAGCCTGTCACAAAATAAATCGTATGCATGACGAATATGGCCTGCCATAACCTTGATGATAAAGTCTGACAGAAACTGAAGCCAAAGGGTAACTGCAGAGCTTACTAGAGGGAAGCATAATAAGAGCTGGTAATAGTAGAACTGATACTTTCATAGAATCACAGAATCATTCAGGCTGGAAAAGACCTCAAGGATCATCAAGTCCAATGACAACCCAACCCCACCCAACCCACTAACCCATGTCCCCAAGCACCACATCCACACGTTTCTTGACCCCCTCCAGGGATGGTGACTCCACCACTGCCCTGGGCAGCCTGTTCCAATGCCTGAGCACTCTTGCAGTGAAGAAATTTTTTCTAATATCCAGCCTAAACCTCCCCTGGTGCAACTTGAGGCCATTTCCTCTTGTCCCATCACTTGTTCCTTTAGAGCAGAGCCCAGCACCCCCCTCACTGCCCCCTCCTTTCAGGCAGCTGTAGAGAGTGATGAGGTCTCCTCTCAGCCTCCTCTTCTCCAGACTGAACCCCCCCAGCTCCCTCAGCCGCTCCTCGTCAGCCCTGTGCTCCAGACCCTTCCCCCGCTGCGTTGCCCCTCTCTGGACCTGCTCCAGCCCCTCAATGTCCTTCTTGTGGGGAGGGGCCCAAAACTGACCCCAGGATTCAAGGTGCGGCCTCACCAGTGCCGAGTCCAGGGGCACAATCCTGCCCCAGTCCTGCTGGCCACACTGTTGCTGATGCAGGCCAGGATGCCATTGGCCTTCTTTCCCAGTGAACCACAGCAGGTAAGCAGGCAAATGAAAATAGATTTGAATAGATGCTTTTGGATAAATAGACATGATTATCTAGACCTTAATTCAACTCCCATTGGCATCAACAGTAAGAGACTGACTGAGCTCCTACTGCATTGCATCATTTTTTAAGGCAGTAGGACCCAATCTTCCGCAGTGGTGAGCACCTCCTGAAGAAGGTTTCAGCTTCACCAAGCTACGTTATCACTTTGTGCACGGTGCCAGTTGTATTTCTGCTGCAGCAATCTGGGATACTACATGACTAAAGAATGTCATTCTTGGACAATCCAAATCACCGAAAATTTCCTTCCCATTAAGGAAAGGGAAAAAAGAGAAGCCAATGTTTGAAACCAACAGAGCAATGTGAACACAATTGTATTTCAAAGGCATAGTTATGCTGCAGGGATTGACTGGGTACATCTGTCCTGCATGTTAGATATTAAAACCATTTTTAAAGTGGTACCTTGGCAGAAGTAGCAAAATGGAACTTTTTCCAGTCCAAGTATTTCCCCTGGCGTATCAAGGCATGGTATGAAAAAGGGTCAGTGAGGAAATGGATGTATTTCCCCGCTACCCGGCAAGTGAAAATGTGGCCGTGCTTCTTCTGCTTTTCTCTGAGGAATTCAAGGGGGTTGGCACCGAACTGCAAGGCACAGCCCAGGTACGGGAGAAACCCGTTTTCAAGTGGTGGCTCACCTTGTCGCCTACAAAACACAAACAAAAGCTGAATTTAGAAGTTTGTATAAAGATCTCTCCTCCAGGACTACCAGGTAAGAAAAAGGATGATGCTAGGCTTTTTGTAATGTGAAAAAATGTAAAAAAAAAAAAAATCCCCAAACAAATAGTATATTGACAAATAATTTTCTCCCCTTTAAAGAGGAAGGCCTATTGTGAGGTCTGTGGCATACAAGAAAGAATAACTTTAACAGCCTGTATTATAATAAACGTAACAAAAGACAGTTGGATTATGTCATTTTTCTTTTCCCTAGATCAGGAACTTGTTTTCACTTGTTTAAATGCAGCATTGCTGCCACTGGCTAACATGCACAGTTACATAATTGTCCCATAAACTATAATCCATCTGACTAATATTGGCTGATGCATTTTTGGGCAACGGTATTCACAATTCCATGTGAATACCAAGGGGAATAGCCTTCTGAGTGTTGAAAGGTCGTTATTATTGGCATAGCGCATTTGGACCAGATCCTGCTGGAAATAGGAATTTTTGCCATGATCTTCAGTAAGCATAAGAGTTAGCCTTTCAGTTACAATAGGTAAGCAACGTTACTTGCTCCTTATGTAAATGTGCCTGTAAGATAAAGGCTTTTAAGGAGTAGGTATTCAGCACAGCAAGGTACATAAACACTATCTGTATTTAAATGTGTAACTAGGTATGATAGACCGATAATATGAAAAATGTTTGTAAGTAGGAATTAAACTATAATTAGATACAAGTAGGGATTAGCTGTGATTAAAATACAGGTAAAACGATAGCCCAGTACTTTAGGAAAGCAGAACATGTATATTCATATTTTAATTACCTCATTTATGCACAGATTTCTATCTATAGCTATGTCTAGGTGTTACTGCTCTAGTATTAAAAAGCCTGTACACAAAAATTGGGTTGTGAAATAAATCTCTCAAAGGACGAAACTACAGGGTCGCCCATTCTATCCTGCATCTGTCCGTCTGACAGTCTTAAGATTACACTTCTTTTAGTTCTGTCCACAGTATATTTGACATAAAGGCTAGGTACACTGAGATGCATTTGGAAATAGATTCCTTACCTCCTCCTCCCTAGAAGGAACCAAAACCCACAACAGAGTATTAGCACTGTTGCCCAGATCCATGATGCTATGAACATTTCTGGTAATGCCCCAAAAACTTCCAAGTGGAAAACTGGTAACTACCAGTATGGAAGGAGAGGTGAGTGAGAATGGTCCAGAAGATAGGTCGGGATTTATATACAGTAGGTGCACCACTGTATCTGATGGCATCCAGTCAACCTAGCAAGCTATTGATTAACCATTTCTGGAGAGAGCCTGTTTTGTCTCTGTTCTGACATTTTTTCTGCAGAGAGCTTCTCTGGATTGATGTAGACAGTTGCAGATGTGGCCTTGAGCTGATGTCACACATCAGCAGCGGTTCCAAAGTAATCAAACATCTCCACTACTTGATAATTTGAAGGTCTGTCAGGCGTATTTTGATCTATCCTGCAGATTTACCAACTGCAGTTTATAGTTCAAGTTTAGCAATCTATGCCAGGTGTCCAGAGGATGGGCTAGATGGTGGCTGCAGTTTGTGATGTCCTTCGGCTGCCAGCCTGCTCGCCCCCTCTCTCCTCCTTCCTATGGGACTGCCCTGGCTCTGGTGTGCCCCTGCCAGAGGGAATGGGGTGGGTGGCTGCAGCTGAAGGGAGGGCTGCGGAGGTGGACTTACTCCCTCTAACGACATTTCTCTGGTAGAAGGGAAAAATGGGCTTTCTATAACGCAGTGTGAGAGAGAAGAAAGCAGGATTAGACAGCCCTCCTGGTTTGGGTTTTTTCATTGTCCTTGGATCACCTTTTATTTTCCCATTAAACCTTTTCCCTTTCCCTTGCTGACTAGTGAGAGTTCAAACTTTGGCTTGCTCCTAGCTCCTGGCATCAAGCCATTGAGAAGGCAGCTCAGGCAGCATACAGTGATCTCTTATTAGTCATTCAGAGCCTAACATGTTTCTAAACTGCTGGGTTTTAGTCACTTTTTCTGGCTCAATTTTGTACCATTTTTTTCCTGGTGTCCCTACAGCCAGGTGATAAACCAGTAAAGATCTGGACGTTCTGCTGGACCTTTTTCACTATGCTGAAGGCATTGAGCTGCAAATCTGGCAGATGAGAATACTGTCCTGGCTTCAAACCAAGGAAGGCAGTGGGGCACAGGGAAACTCTGCATGTGTCATTACATTGGAGGCAATTTTAAAGTTGCTATACTGAAGAAATAAACACTTTTCACAGTATTGGGGTTTGCCCTCAATCTAAAAGCCAACTCCTTTTGCATGTCAGCTCAAGATCCAGTCCCCCACCCCATTTCCATTCAAGTACCTGCATTTCCTTTATTTTCCTAGAAAAACTGTGTGTCTAACACACAGG